ACAACACTCCTAATAATTACTGTAGACCACTTACCGTACTATCAGTAGCTGCCACAAATATATCTCACTAAAATTAGTGTTTGATGAACATATTGGGCATATTAACACCAAAATTAATATAAAATAATATAATGTTAACACAAATTCAGTATTCAATGGGATGGTTGTGATCAATGACAAAGTTGTACAATGGCGTTGTTCCTTTTGAGCAATGAGTTTTTGACGTTTCATCAAAGTTTGCCGAGGCTTGGTGAACGATGGTACGCTAACGTGATCGATCAGCAACACACTCCTCTAGCTCCTTTGGTCTGGTCTTTCACCAGTGGGGGTTAGTTTCACTAGTGGGGGTTAGTCTTAATTACGCCTTTGTATAATTCCATTTGTCGGCCTTGATGTCTTCTACCATATAACAGCTCTCCGTACAGCATCAGCGTCAGGGAATGAGATGTGGATAACATGATCAGCCAATCGGCCTTGTGTCTTGATGAGTATGTTGGTCGAGTCGGCACGGTGCAAATTCCAAAATTGGAGATGCGATTCTACAACGTCATTCTAAGTATGAAGCGAACACGCAAATATTTCTAGTTTCTTGATGTGTTAAATTTTGCATCTATAGAGGAGAGAAGGGAATGGTTATGATTGGTCGCTCATATCAGAATATGCCTGTCTACTAGGGCTGCTCGCCAATCCCTGTTGCAGACTCCTACTCAGGCACATTTGTGTCTGTTCAACACCCGCAAAGTCCACTTGTATTTTATACTTCAACTATGTTGATTGGACCTCAGTTACAGTTTCTGGGAGAGAATGGCGTGATCAACAAGGCCGGTACGCTCAAACCATCGGCCACGATGACTTGTAACTTCGTGCTAGCACAATCATCAACCGCTCCTAATTTCATTCACAAGGCTTGAATCAACCCATGGTACAGTTTTCAGGCATTTTCCAAATGTGTCGTACACTGGGTTTGCCTTTACAGGCTAATAACATTAAGAAGTCACCTCCATGACAAATTAACCATGGTAAGATTCGAACCCGGGTCTCGTGATCGGAAAGCAAATGTTCTAACCATTTGGCCTTGTGCCCATAATATATTAATATAGATAATATGATATCTCACTATGAAGTAGCAGTTGGTTAGGCTCATGAAGCATGACATTTAGGCTGATGCCAAAATTTTCAGAACCATATTTTGCACAGTCTTAAAGAAATCTTAAAAGAAGTGAGCTATGCTGATTCATTCAATTTTTTCACTCTTCGTTGGCATTCAGACTTCAATTCCAATTTGGTAATGACATTTTACAAAATTATAAACAATAATACAATTGTTGGATTTATATTCAAATCTTTTAAACGCGATCTTCAGCATATTAATAATAGTAATGTAATGGCTGACCACTCGCATCCAAGTATGCCTGTCTTATAGTATGGCTAGTCAATCCTATTGCAAATGTAAGATCAGGCATATTTGTGTTTGTTCAACACCCACAGTTATTATACTGCAACTATGCCGAGTGGACATTAGTTACAATTTCTGGGAGAGAGTGATCAACAATTTGATCTGGCATGATCAACAGTCTGAACAAGGCTCAAACCTTTGATCACAATGATTTTCGATTTTGTGCTAGCTCAACCATTAATGGCTCCCAAATAGTTCTATCTACCCAATTTCAATCACAAGGCTTGGATCAACCCATGGTATGGTTTTCAGATACTTTCCAAAGGTGCCACAAGCTGACATACCATTTCTAGGCCATTAAAATCAAGAATTTACCTTCTTAATAAATCAAACCCAGGTATCATGGTTAGAAGGCAAACATTCTAATCATTTGGCCTCACACCCATAGAAAGTAGAACCATTGAGTTATAAACTTCGTTAAACAGTCGTATGCTGCATTGGTCGAGCATACAGTAACGGAGTTTGCTATATGGGATAATATGTATACAAATTCACAAAATGTTATATACTACGACCTTAAGGAATGTAAAACTTTTTTCTTGTTTCATGTTCTTGTTAGGATTGCCAACACACAAAAAGGAATATGTGGGCCGGGGTAGCTGGGGTTTCCCAACCACGGGACGGCGACTCAGTTGACAGGTTCCAAACCAAGAAGTCTGTGGACTCACTTAAGAACAAGTTCCCAATGTGAACCCGATGGTATCCCTGTAATAATCATTAAGAAGTGTGCTCCTGAGCTGGTTCCTGTTCTCTCTAAACTGTATAATAAACGCCTCGCTGTCTCCTGCTTTTCTGTCTGCTGGAAGTCATCGTCTGTGGTTCCAGTTTTTAAGAACTCTTGTGAAATGTTTGACCTATCCAACTATCGGCCTCTTAGGCTTCTACTTTTTTTTAGGAAACTCTTAGATGCTGAATTGGTTCATTATCTCTCATCACAGGGCCTTTTCTCAGACAAACAATACAGTTTTCGTTTCTCCAGGTCAACTGCTGATATACTGCCGATAATTGTGGAATGAGTCTGTCATGCTCTAGATAAAAATGGTGAAACCCGAGCTGTAGCATTAGACATCTCGAAAGGGTATGGCAATCAGGTCTTCTCTACAAGCTGAAAAGTTACGGTATCTCCGGGCACATTTTTGAGCAGATCAGGATGTTCCTATCAAATCGTGAACGGCTACTCGTCTAGATCCTTTCGTACAAATGCGGCTGTCCCTCAGGGCGCCATCCTTTGTCCTACGCTGTTTTTAATCTTCATTAACAACCTTCCCGATTACATCAGCTCTCAACTTGGCATCTACGCTGACGACACTACCATTTACTCCTGATGTACAAAACGACCTCAATACCGTCGTTAACTGGGGCAAAAGATGGCTTGTCAATTTTAACGCTTCAAAACTAAACTTCTGTCCATTAATCATCTGAGAGATCCCTCTCTGCCTTTCCATCACCATGGCCAATGCTATCCCCCAGGGAAGTGACACGATGCGCCTTCTCAGGCTAACGTTCTCAGCTGACATGAAGTTGAAAGACTATATTGAATCCATTGCTGGGTCAGCTGCTAAGAAAGTTGGTCCACTGTGTCGTGCGAGACAACTTTTCTCTCCGGAATCTATTGTGCATATGTATAAGTCTACCGTCCATGCTTAGAATATTGCTGCCATATATGGTCTAGTGTTCCTGCTATTGACCTCCTCGATAAGATCCAAAGAAGAATCAGCAATATTATTGGTCCTGATCTGGCGGCTAGGTTTCAATCACTTGCCCACCGCCATAAGGTTGCCTCTCTGTGCCTTTTTTTATAAATACTTTCATGGTAATTGTTCGGATGAGCTCTTTGCTATAGTACCTAAACTGTATGAATTTAAGCTCAGTACTAGACTGGCGTCGAGATCTAGTCAATCTACAATTGAACTGGCTAGATGTAGCCGTAAGTTCTATGTCAAAAGTATTCTTGCTCGTGGAACTCCCTTCCGACTCCATGCTTTCCAGACAATCTTTAAAAGTTTAAATACGATGTCAATTGCTATTTACTGTCCTCTCGATTATGTATGTTTATCAAGTTAGCATTCAAGAATTGTATACAATCAGTGCAAAATAAGAGTTCACTTAGAATTTTATAGTGAAATAGAACTGTTTTTTTTTTCTTTTTTTTTTAGGGGGGGGGCAGTAATATCAATATCTTCGATGCAACTTTAAAGTGTTTCACATTGGGATGGACGCCTTCAAAAGCAGCAATTTATGCACTTTCTTTAGAATAAACCATCAAGCGAAATTGGCATAGCAATTCACGAAAAACATTGTCTTGAAAAAAAATCGCTCATTCCAGCGCTGATAACGGTTATGCTACCCACACGTTTTCAAATTTCTTAGATAAGCTAACTTATAAGGCATTGTCATTAGTAATAACTTTTAACTGATTTTTTTCAATTTATTTCTTTCATTTTGATCGTAACTTTCTTGCAGTACCATTAATCGGGAATAAAGCAAAATTGGTTGGAAATAAAGAATAAACCATCAATGAGATTTTTCAACTCATGTCCCTTTTTCTTGTTGTGTATATCTCAGTGTGTGAAACAAAGATCGTTACTTACATACCACTTAGCACTTCAAATCGAGAGTGCCGCCATATTTCCTGTGAGAAGCGAAACGGTTACTACGTTCGATTTCTTCTTTACAGAAGAGCACAATAGCTGATGAACCGAAAGTTGTTCTTGATTGGCCTATAAAACTGCCAGAGGAGTCACAGTGTGTTAGATGTATTATGAGAAGAGTTGTAGCTGGTAGATGACATACCAGTTAATATCCGATCAGTGTCGGCTGAGTCACCGTAGAGATGGGGGTATGATGTTGAAAGACCCGAAACCCTTAATGATCTTCGGTTAAAAACATCGTTGTTGATGTGTCCCAAAGCATCAAACACGAACTTGAAAACGTGTCTTATCATAAAGACACCTTACCAGTTTTGAACAAAAACTTGGATAGTTGAATTAAAGGAGTATAAAACGGCCGAAACATCGTTAATGTGGCAGTAAAGATGAGGACAGCAGTCCGAGAAATGTAAAGAGATAAATTCGACTTTAAATATCCGAGCAAATATGTCGTTAAATTAACCAACAATATTTTTTGTTCTTCTGAAAAATGAAGAAGTCCCAATCGTCTAAGATAGAAAAGAGTAACGCGTTTGTGTTGTAGTTTAAAATTTAACTAGATGCAAAGATTATACATTTTTGGTCGAAGTAAAAATTGATACACAACTTGGATTGTAATAATCATGTTGCCGACATTATATTACCAGCTTTTTTTAGTTTTCTCTTTCTTGATTTTGCAGCTGCAATTTGCGTCTGTAATATCATTGCTGTACGCCATGTTAATGATGCTCGTAATGGTTGGTCTTATGAAAGAAATTGGTACTTACCTGTTCTGTTCCGTCACAACAATTTTATTCTGCTTTGTAACCGGTACCTTTCTATTGGCTGCCATTTTTCACCCGAATGAATTTTTCTGTATCCTGCATGGCCTTCTGTACTTCCTTCTGATACCATCCATGTCTATCTTCCTGATATTCTATGCCCTTGGTAATCTGCAAAATGTTTCATGGGGAACGCGCGAGACCGAAGCTGAACTGGTGGCAAAGGCGAAAAACGAGGAAATGGCCGAGATTAAAATAAAGGCTGAAACTTCGAATCCAAGGAAATTAAGTACAATAGATCGAGTTCACAATTTCTTCGCTACTAGTGAAAAAAGTAAAAAGGGCGAAATGGAATCAGAATACAATTTCTCTTGTGGGAATATCTTCCGCTGTTTGTGCTTCCCGAAAGAAAAATCCTTAAATAAAGACGATCTGCTCGAGCCCCTGATAAAAAGATTCGATGAAATCGTTCAAATGCATTCATTGGAGTTGGCTAATATGAAAACTTGCGAAGAGGCCGAAGCACCAGACCAAAATGGCGAAATCAAAGAAGACAAGAAAAAACCAGAAGCCAAAGATAATGTTTCCTCGTCAAATGGTGAGTACGACATATTTTCGTTTGTCTCTTGATTTTTTTTAACAGTAAGGTTCATCCTGTACAAGGCCCGGGGGCCACTCGAGGTAGAGAATTACAATAAGATGTAGTTTATGTAGATAGAAGGGGAAGATAACGGTTGACTCTAGACTTGAACTCGTTAAAATTGTAGTGATCGAGGAAACACCCTCTAATGAGTATGTTCCATAGGGCAGTGATTCGTGGAAGATGTTTGAGTGGAACTTACTTGTCGCCAATGGAATACGGAGAGAATGTGGGTGGGGTTTGCTACTGTGAAAGTGGCTTGGGGGGGGGTCCTAGTCGTAAAGGTCGGACCTGGTGGAACTAGTAGATGCAGTTCATCTGAGCACTTTCTATGGTAGTAGCGATAGAGCAGTGAGAGACTTGTCAAATCCCACCTGTGAGAGAGAGGTTGGAGTGTGGAAAATAATTCTTCTTCTACAAGAATTCGGAGACGCTTTTGAACAGGACTGGAAAGTCAAGTCTGTGCAGTTGCTGCCCAAATATGTCAACAGTACTTCATTTCCGGCCTGATCTGGCTCTTATAAAGGTAGAAGATAGACATTTTTTTATCCTTTGGTATTTCAGTATTCCCCTCATGTATGTCATAATTACATTGATTATGTATTGAAGCAGGTTGACATGGTGCCTTCCAGTAAATCTTTATTTTTGATAAGTTCTTTCCAACTAATTGTTATAAATAGTTTAATTTTCATGCTTTAATGTTTTCACCTGTATAATATAGATGTATTTCTGAAGCTTTTCCAGTTCTTCATTCTCTTTCAATGTTTCTCTTGCGTATGTCACAGTTGGCAGTGTAGATTCATTTTACACTGTTTAAAGCGTTTTGGCGATTTGATGTCTCTATTTTTATTAAATACTTTCTAACCAGTCACTATAAGTAGTTTTCTGTTAATATTTTTCCTCTGTGTTATTTCTGATTTTGCTTTCTGCTCATCTTAAACCTATCTCGAGCATTTTCCTACTGAGATCATTTAGTATGTTTTGTAATTCGTCTGATTCTGATATTAGTAAAATGTTGGCAGCACATCACGAATGGTTCAAATATTCACCATTTATGTATATTTCCATTTCTATTGATCCTTGGATATGCAGGTGGTGTAATGGATAATGGCTCAGAATTGTTAATCGGAGAACCGAGTTCCAATTCCAGTTGGGTTCGTTAAATTTACATACGCACAAATATCTTTGAGAAATATGTAAATCCACTACTTCTCCGTTTATGGATTAATTAGTAAGACTTGTATCACTAAATCATTAGTATCTCCAAATAAATTATTACAATCTAAAATGTTTTCTTACCTTAAATAACCTGAAAATGATTAATAAGCCGTAGAAAATGTATCAACCAAAAAAAAAAAAAAGAAAAAAAAACTAGATGGTCCTTTCGTGAACAGTTTTGAAAATTGTTGGTCGTAATTTTTTAAATATTATTATTGTTAGATATTTTGATATTTGGATCGGCTTACTTATTTTGTTTTTATAGTCATAACATTTAGGCTGTTGTAGTTTCTGGCCTTCTTCAGATGTTTATATATAAATAAAAATAATATAGTAATATTCTAGGAATTTTGAAAACTATTCATAAAGTGGATTGTCTCATTTCACCTTCCATGCTTAGTTAATCAGTTGATACTTACGAGACATATTCACTTTTATGTAGTTTCCCTCCGCAGACTTTTCCATGTTATCACACCCAGGGAGTGAAAGAATTATGAACCAGATATGCTTTAAATAAAGCTTTAACATATCCTTACTGCCAAAAAAAAAAAAAAAAAAACAGATATATTTTAACTAAAACTTTAATCCATCCTTCCTGCTAATGAACTAGATATGATTTAACTAAAACTTTAATCTGTGGATATGTGATCACATCAGAAAGTTGCCAATGGGGATAAGTGATCGGATAATTATTTTATCAGAAACTTTTGGAATAGAACGAACTGACTGATGGTTTAAAATAAATAATATAGTTTTATTTGTTTTCTTTGGAGTGATGTGAGTCTTTTGGTATTCGGGGTAGCAAAAAGTTTGTTAATAAGGCGGATATTGGTAGCAGTCTGGAGAAATATCCGTTAGTGGTATTTTCACAGTAATTAGGTCGATGTCAATCTGCTGTGTTTTCTCGGCTTTGAACTGGGCGGAAATGTCTGTAGCAGATGACCTCTTAACTGCTTCTTCACGCATGGCTGGTTTCTACGCGGTAGTGTTTTTTCGGTCTGTCCTCCCCGCGTCCCATCTGGTCTCTTGTGCAAGTAGCCCTGAGGTGTCAGGTTTTATATCACCAGGCTCGAGAATTTGGCGCGAACATCAAAAAAGTCTCTTTATACAATTTTGTTTGATTGGCCAAATTATTTTCCGACGTTCCTTTCTTTTTCATTTTTTTAATAACGGAGGTTATGCGTGAAGCCCCCATCTTTTTTGTATTTTTTAGTCACAAATAAGTAAGCTCTTTTTCTGAAAACTTCCGGTGTTTTTTTTTTTTTTTTTGTTTTTTTTTTTGGTTGAATTTCTCCTTCCTCCTCTTTTTATTTGAGGGTTGCCTTCTCGTAGGTTGAGAGAATATAGAAAGAGAAGTTTAGAGAGAGAGAGAGAGAGAGCGAAAGAAAGAAAGAGATGAGGAATTTAACGGAAAGAGAAAATGACTTTCTTTTCTTTTTTTTTTCATTCTGTTATGGTGGAACACACCTATTCTATAGTTAATAGACTCTCCCACCTATAATAATTAGGAGTGGTAAGTGGAGTCGGTCGGTCAGTCGATGGTTGAACTCTCTGCCTTCGAGCGGGGAGGAACCCAAAGGAGGCTACGCCGAAGGGTGGAGTCTTGTTCGGGGAGGTAAACCGACCCTGAACCCGTTTATACGGGTTCAAAGGGTATATTTTTGACCGAGCCCACGGGCTCGGAGATCCCACGTTAAACCGGCCTTGTGCCACATGATGCCCTCGTGGGGTGACTAAATATCGTCAGTCGATGTCGGACGACAGTTAGTCGAATACGAAAGTATCAGCGACCACGACCAGATTGCTCTGCGTAATACCAAGTTCCTAACGTTTTGTACGTCGAACCTATTTTAAGACTGACTCAGTACAAATACAATCCTCCACTGCGAAATAACTCCACAACACATTCATAATTTTTATTCATATATTTTATTTTTATCGGGACTCACTACAAATCAATTTTTGCTGCCTAGTAACCACATACCTTTTAACTAAAGCTTTAGTCCATTCTTCCTTCTTTCCTTCCAAAGAACCAGACAAGCTGAACCTAAATCTTTAACCCATCATGCCTATCAAGAAATCAGATAAATTTTAACTAAAGTTTTAATGCAACCTTCCTACCTCGCAACCAGATAATTTTAAAATTTAATCAATCATTTCTGCGAAGGAACCAGATATGTTTTAATTAAATGTTTAATCTATCATCCCTGCCTATGAACCAGGTACGTTTTAAAAGAATTCATCCTTCTTGCCAAGGAACCAAATTTGTTTTAACTAAAAATTTAATCTATTAGGCTATGTGCCTTTTGATAAATAAGACTGGTGAATACTAACTTATATGTAATAACCGTAACATTTTCAAAGTGGAATGAGAACAATTATTCAAAAACAAACTTCTGAAGAAGACCCGAATGTATAATGACTGAAACGTTATGAATATAACATCCCAAAAGAATAGCAAAGAAAGCATATATCTTGTTGAAAACATTAGAACTTATGTATAGCCCAAAGAAGTGGATACATATTGAAAATTATTATCAAGAGAAAAAAGAAAAACAAATGGTGTAAGATTCCTTAAGGTTTGATCGAAAATCTGGCCGCTAAACTGATTTACACCATCATTTTTTTTCTTTTCATTTTAGTTTTCAATTTATCTCTACTTCTTCATGCAATACTTAAGTTTTAGAGGGGTGCAGAATTAATTAAAACTCGGAACTAATTTCAACTCGGAACCAAGGGTTAGAGGTTAGGGTTTTTAAATCGAGTTGAAATTAGTTCTGTCACTCAGTTTTAGCACCACCAAGAAGTTGTTTAGAATTGATGTCCTGACGCTCAAATTCATTTTTCTCTCTTATCAACACTCTCTTCGTAATAGTTGTATTTACCATAGAGTTCAGTCTCAGTAAGAGCAATTCAACTAGTTTCAGTCTCGTGTGCCAGAAGACTGATGATGCCAATACAAAATATACCAATGCCACTAATACTTACAACTGTGTGTAATATATTAAAAAAAAAGATCAATAACACTTCAAATGTAGTGTCCATTCAGGACATGGACGGTCGTGGCTCTCCACAATTTCCTATCCTTTGCAGCTCTTAGTAAGGTTTGTCTTTTGACTATCCCTCTTATTCCCTGTTCTGCTATCTGTTTACCGAAGATTATTAGGTCAGTCACTCGCTGTTTCTTGGTTCATTTTGCTTTCAATATGACCCTTCAGGTCATCTATGTCTTCTCCAAGCCCTATTTTCTCATTATGTCTCTTAGAAATTTCAACTGTTTCCTTATTTTACTTTTGCTTTATTTATTATTTTTTTCTTTTTATGTACACAGAGGAATCCATTGTGTTCAATACAGACTGGATGAATGATGAAGACCTTAAAAGAATGCAAACTGATCACATCGACGATGATGAAACTATCTTTTGGAAAAATCTAATCACCCAGTATTTGTTCCCTTTAAAAACAGGCGAAGAAAGAGAAATTAATATGAAAAAAAAACTGGTGGAGTTACGTAATAACGTCTGTCTGTTTTTCTCTCTTATCAACGCTCTCTTCGTAATGGTTGTATTTACTATAGAGTTCAGTCTCAGTAATAGCAGTTCAACTAGTTTCAATCTAGTGTGCGAGAGCTCTGATGATGTTAATACAAAAGATACCAATGCCATCACCATAGTCTTTTTGTTGGTGTTTGGTGTCACTCTTTTTGTGCAACTCATGGCAATGCTCTTCCACCGATACGAAACCTTTCTACACATTCTGGCCTCGATTGATA